AAGTCATAAGGTTGAAGACGCAAGGCCCAACCTTCAGCTCTGGTACAGGCACGCTTTCCATTTTGGTGTTTTCCTCCGTAGATGTACTCTAAAGTCTTATGGTCCGTGAATACTGTAAATCTACTTCCAAATTGATATAAGTAAAATTTTTCGACGGTCCATACAACCGCCAGTGCCTCCCGCTGAGTTTGTGGATACACTCTTTCTGCTTTTGTCAAGCCCTTGGAAGCAAAACCTATAATTCGTGACTTGTTCGATTTGTCCTTTTGAGTTAGAACTGCGCCCAGACCAACGGGTGATGCATCTACAAACAGTTCCGTATTATCTCGGGTATCAAAAAATCCCAGCTTACGAACAGTACTTGCAAGCATATTTCGTAAATCGTCAAAAGCCACCTGCGGGGCATCGCCGAAATTCTCTACGTCTCCCCTAATAAACTGACGAAGCGGCTCAGTCCTCGTAGATAGATCCGGAATGAATTGCCCGACGAAATTGACGAGTCCAAGGAAGCTACGAACTTCTTCCTTCGTCTCTGGTCGTCGGAAATTCTGAATTGCAGAGATCTTGTTTTCAGAAGGGCTGATCCCGGCTGCGCTGACCTCATAGCCCAGGATTTCAAGTTTCGTTGCACCAAACACACACTTCTCCTTGTTCAGCGTCGCGTTATTTGCCTTTAGAACTGCCAATACCTTCTTTAGCCGAACATCATGTTCTTCACGTGTTTCTCCAGAAACGACTATATCGTCAATATATACTATTATTCCCTCGATCCCAGCCAGCATTTCGGACATCACCCGCTGAAAAATTTCCGGCGCACAGTTGATGCCGAACATCAACCTTTTAAATCTCATGAGACCCCTACTGGTCATGAAAGTGGTTATTCCACGGGAATCAGGGTGAAGCTCAATTCATCAACTAAAACTATAATTTCTTAGGGGTGAATCATAAACGTAAATGAAATAGTGATTTATTTAATTTCCCAACTCTACAGTATGGAGATTCCCCATAGTGGTATGGCGCATCGATGAGGTTGACAGATTCTCGTGATTGAGTCGATCGAAAGCTTTTTCGTAATAAATGGACTGTGGACCCCCGTTCATCGGAACGACACTTCGTGCATATTAATGGGGATCATTTTTAATTTGAACTTCTAGTAACCCTATGCCCATCAGAAAAACGAGTTTCTGGTAGCCTTATTTGCTGTTTGGTTTTCTCCATTCCATGTGCTAAATGACGTTTGAGAAATTTTTAGTTTGCAAGGCGTGCAGATTAGCGGGGCTAAAACTAAAAAGGGTTCAGATTTAAAACATTAATATTATAGGGGGGTCCACGGTATAAGGACTATTGCAATTCGATGACCTGCTCCATTCTCTTGAACACCTTTCCGAAGCTCTGAAACCGTTTCCGGAGATTCTATAAACCATTTTCGAGAATTCTCTGGTTTTTCTAAATCTTCTTTCAGAGATCGTATGAACAATCTTCTAGAGCCTCTTTGAATTCTTTTTCAAGGATTTTCTGGAGAGAACTGTTCATTGTTTCTCAGAGATTCTCTGAATTTACTTTCAGATACATTTTGAGCTCCTTTCAGAGGAGATTTCGGAAGTTTTTTTGAAGCCCTCTCCAAAGATTCTCTCAAATTCCATCCATTGTTCCTCTGAAACTCCGTCTAGAAATCTTCTACATCCTTTTTAAAGTTCTTCTGAAACCTTTTCGAGATCACTGAATTTCCTCATTTCTGAATTCTTTGAAGCCTCTTTCAGGGATTCACTGAAAATCCTTCTAAAGATATCTGAATTACTTTCAAGTGATTTCAGGGATTCAGAATGTGCAAAAATTCATCTTGCCCCGGGATGCATCTTACCCCATCTTACCCTATTCTACAACGATCCACTCCAATGTGAACCCTATTCCCGCAATCATGGTCTTTCGTGATTCTGTTTGCTCGCACTCTCAAAAAATAGATAGGAATAGATAATGTAAACACAACTCACGCTCTGCGTTGACCGTGTAGGCAGCATAACAAACACACCGAAATATCATTCACTGTTTACCGATATGCTGTCAGCATAACCGTTCAGTATTCAATCGTAATCGAAAGCTTCAACATCACCCGAATGGAGGTCTTCCTCCTCGTGTCGGCCCTCGTGGGCTTCCTGGTACTAATCTACCGATATGCCACCGCTTATGCGGATTACTTCGACCAGCGTGGCATCAAATACCGGAAACCGACCTTCCTGCTCGGTAACCTGGGTCCAATCATATTTCAACGGACCACCCCGACTGCCAATCTGACGGAACTCTACCGGCAATTTTCGGGCGAGAAGGCGTACGGATTCTTCGAGTTTCGTCGTCCGACGATTATTTTGCGTGATCTGGAGCTAATCAAGCGGGTATTTATCAAAGATTTCGACCACTTTGTCAACCATACGGCACCGATTGACGAACAGATGGATTCGATTCTGGGCAACGGGTTGATTTCGCTGAAGGGGCAAAAGTGGAAAGATATGCGAACGATGCTGAGTCCAATGTTTACCGGGAACAAGATAAGGCATATGGTGCCGTTGGTGGGGAAGTGCGCGGAAGATTTGTGTCGGTTTGTGGACAAGAAACAGAAGGTTGGTGGTGAGATGGTGGAATGGGACGTGAGGGAACTGTTGGCGAAGTGTTTGGTTGAAGTGATTGGTTCGTGTGCCTTCGGGATCGAAGTGGATTCGTTCGATGATCCGGACAATGAGTTTGACCGGGCGGCGAAGTATCTGATGAGTCAGTCGGATATTCGAAAGGTGGTGCGGTTCTTGCTGATAATGGTACTGCCGAAGGTTTGCAAATTGTTTGGCATGGAACTGTTCGACGAGAAGTATAAGCGACTGTTTCGTCGATTAGTTAGCGAAACAATGAAGGCTCGCGAACGAGATGGGACCAGTCGACCAGATTTGGTGCAGTTGCTGATGCAAGCCAAACGTGGCAAGCTGTCGGTGGAGAATGACACCGCGGAAGATTCCTTTTCAGCGGCAAAGGATCATTTTGAGTCTGGCTCAGGCACTGCCAAATCTAATTGGAGCGACGAAGAGTTGACGGCGCAAGCCGTACTGTTCTTTGCTGCCGGTTTCGATACCACTTCAACACTGCTTAGTTTCACATTGGTAGAACTTGCCCTAAGCCCGGAAATACAAGATCGATTGATCGCTGAAATCGATTCCGTTGATGAACCATTCACGGAAGTAACCTACGAGCAGATCCAAAAGCTTCGCTACTTGGACGCAGTAATATCCGAGTCCCTAAGAAAATGGCCACCACTACCGGCTACCGATCGAAAATGCGTTAAAGATTACGTACTGAACAATCCAGAAGATGATAGTCCAATGTTCGAAATCGAGCAAGATCGAACAGTGTGGATCCCAATCTACTGTTTCCACCACGATCCGAAGTATTTCCCAAATCCTGAACGATTTGACCCAGAGCGCTTCAACGACAGCAATCGACAGCAGCTGAATCAGGCAGCCTACATGCCGTTCGGTGTTGGACCTCGGAACTGCATCGGTTCCCGTTTCGCACTGATGTCAGCCAAGATGATTCTCTTCCGATTGCTTCAGAGCTACCGAGTGGATGTCTGTCCGAAAACTGATACCAAGATGGAACTTTCCAAAACCAAAATGAATATGACGATGGACAAGGGTCATTGGGTTTACTTGCAAAACAGAAAGTGAAAATTTTTGAATTTAAATAAACGCTTTAATGATTCCTTATTGACAATTTACTTAATCCTATCACTTCCTTCACTCCTTGGATGTCTTCGGGAACCACGTGTACAACATTTTGTTGAGCCCGGTTGTCATACCCTTGATGAACTGTGCCACTGATTTCAACATAAATGCACCAGCCCTTCCGGAATCATCCTTAGCAGATGTGCTGGTCACCGTCGTATTCATGGGGATCTTCTGAACGCTGCTCATCGGTTCGGTAGGAATCATATTCTCATGTGACTCCTGGGAAGTTCTCCGCTGGTGCAACATATTCGTCTCCAGCGATCGTGGATGCAGCAGGGCGTTGCGCTTGGCTCGTTGCAGTACCTGCTCGGAAATCTCCTCCTCCGGTTCTTCCCGGGCCGAGTTCTCATCCGCAGCTTCGCCGCAGCAATTGAACGACTCCAGCAGCATATCGAACATCTCGGTAAACTTCTGCTGCAGTTTGGTGTTGTTCATGAAGAACGCCTCGATGCGATCGATCTCACCGGATCCAATCGAACGTTTCCTTCGAGTGAGCTCTTCTATATACGCTTCGGACGTATCGTGGCCACTGTCGTCTTCATCCGACATCATCGAGAGGCTCAGCTCCGAAGAGTGACCTTTGGAATACTCAAAACTCTCCAGACTAGAGCTCACCTTAGATTTCTGCTTTTTATCTCTTTTCGAAGGCCATTCTTGTTTCAAGTTGTCCGAATCAGTTGAATCTGACCCGAAATGCAGAGGAGATTCTTTTTCCTGGCGGGTGGTAGCGGGAAAACCAGCTTCCATCATGCGAATGTCGCTGACTTTGATCAGTTCCGGTTCAACGTGCAGCACCTTGGATGGCTTGGTAATCTCCTCCGGTGTATTCAACGAAATTTTCCGATGAATAGATTCGGCTGGTTCCAACTCCGGTCGAGGAACTCCATCATTTCGTATGAACGCCATCTCTGGAACCACAAACCGTAGGTCCTTTTCCGAGGCTGGTTTTCTTCTTGAAGTCTTCTTTTTGCGCGACTTCTTCAACCGCGAGTCCCTGATCGGAGCTTCTTCGATCGAAAGCAGTTCTTCCTCTTCTGGTCCCTTGGAAATCACCAGGTGGACATCACCTTGCGGGAAGCTGGATCGATTAACTTGCTCTTCATAGCTCTCGCCAAATACCGGTGGTTGGTTGACGGCCTCTGCCAGTGAAGAACGTTTAGTCTTTTTGCTGGCTGTGTTGCATTTCGATGGATTGGCACAACGATTACGCTTGCGAAGTTGTCGCTTTCCTCGCTCTCGCAGCGGACGTCTTTGCTGCTTAAGATTTCTTCGCTCCGCTCGTTTCTCCTTCAACCTTACGGTGCGCTGTTTTCGCCGGTAGTTGATCGTTTGTCGAGGAGGTCTCTTCGCACTTCCTTTGAGTCCTCGCTTCTGCAGAGCTTGTTTCAACTTGCCAACGATAGTTTCCTCCAGCTGGTGATCCGTGGATCGCTTCCGGCGGCTCATCTGAGTAATATCATGCTGATGAGCACGCTCCTCAATCAACTCCTGCAGCAGTTGGTCCACGGGACTTTCCAGCTCTGAGATGCTACGGGAAACCTTTGTGCGAAGGTCCTGATAGTCATCAAAACACTCCCGTAGGTTTAAATTGGGTATCACCCAAAATGCGATTGCGTACCCTGGGATGGTTAGCTGAAGGCCTTTGAGAATTGGACGAATTTTGGCAAACGGCTCCAAAGATGACTCAAAGTCGAACGCTTGATCGTTCAACTGGATCTGTCCATCAACAACGGTTACAACGTACTGCTGAACTTCAGTCGAATATTGCTTGGATGAAAGTTTGAGATCAAATTCGAACCCTTCCGGGTGATGGTTAACGCCCATGAGGGCAAATGATCCGTTAGCACTACGACTACAGTACGCGTAGATTTGAACGTCATCTTCGGTTATCTGGGGAACGTTGAACACTTTTGTGCCGATTGTGGATCTGTGAAGCAATGCGATGAGGTAGATAAAACTATAAGACTGAATTTCCTCGCGTGAAAGAGATTTGAAAACTGCGTTGAATCCATTGCGGGCTGCATCTCCGAGGAGCGTTGCGTAGCGGAGTCCTTCTCGAAGACATGTTTCGTTGCATTCAGTGCCGGAATCGACTGCAGTCGGGAGCCTAACATCCAACCAGATAGGAAGATGAGACCGCACTGGACCACGAACGAAGGATTCCCGCTGCAGAACGAACTCTTGCAGACGGATGTCAGTTGTACGTGGTTCACTGTAAGTTATGTTTATGTGTTAAACACAGATTAAATAATTTAGATTTGATGAAAAAGGACTTACTAGACAACTGATATGGCATCTGCAATTTCATCGACATATAGGTTGAAATAGCGAGCCTGATCGACTCCTGCCTCTCTCCGATCAACGTCACAGGCCACGATTCCTCGATACTTGAACGCCCTGGTAATCGCTTTGAATGCTCGTAGATCATCAATGTACTTGACGGCATCCGTTATATTACCTAAAATATGGCACATTACACGACGTTTACTTCCACGATTCAAGCTACTCACCTGTTCCCAACTGCCACAAGCAGTTCGTAATGCCTAGCTTATTTGCCACCGTCAACACCTTCAGAGCATTCCTCGGTTTCCAGCTGTCCTCACTGTAGTCCAACACAAACACCGGTACCAGTCCGGCTTCCTGTGCCCACTTGTTGAACGCTCGCCACCCATTCGGTGTTATCTGCACCAAACCGGAGTCCTCTTCATTCCCCGCAAAACCATCCATCTTCAGTTCCAACTGACTCGAATCTCCGTACACCTTCATGTACATCGGTCCCAAATTCTTTGCCATCTGAAACGTCTTGTCACTGATCGGGTTCAAAGAATCCTGGAACACACTTCGAGGCTTCGCCGAAAAGCACGCAAACTCCTTCGCAATGTAGTTGGTCACCTTCCGCGGATTAACCATCACGCTGGTCAGCTGTTCGACACTATCACCGTAGACGATCGTTGGTGCAATCACCAACGACAGTAGCGTCAGTAACGCCTTTCTGTGTAGCCACATGATGATTTCCAAGCAGCTTGCGTTCGCGTTGCACTCCCGTCGATAACTGACTGCCGTGAGCTGTCCCCAACGAACCGGGTAGATTCGCTCAGGAAGCAACCGAATTATGCAAGTGTTGGGTGTTTGGTGGCACTTTCTACCGAGCAATGCCGTCCACTCTGGCTGGTGTAAACATTCAAGTTGTCTATATCAGCAAAATTTTCACGGCGCACGACTGTAGGTCGAGCAGTTGTTTTTTTGCTGAGCTGGACGAGATGAGTGAGTTTTGGTTTCGGTGCTGCTGCTGCTGCTGCTGTGAGGTTTTTGGCATGAGGGGGAAAAACTGCACATGTTTACCGAAGGGATGACCTTTAATTTGCGTGAGTTGAATTTTAGACTGCATGCCACGATCGTTGCGTTATGAAAAATTACTGAATGTTCATGATTATTCACTGAAGAATTAAAATGACAAGAGAGTACTTAATGGGCTACCCACCCCCGAAAATAGTATACGTTATAATATGCCCACCAAACAATTCAAAGTCACAAATAAGCATACACATTGAATAAATGCTGTATAACAGTGTACAATGCTGAATAAAACGAGTTGTCGAATTATGTGCTGAAAAAGCTCATTGAGATCGATAGATGCACATTTATTCCACTGTTTGCTCTGATCTGATTAATTTACTTATTAAAAGCTGTAAAAGTGATAAATGTCTTCCCAATTCAACGCCAGAAGTTTGATCTAATAAAAAACTGAATAAGTGTAATTTGTGCACACATTGACACTTTAATTCGATTGTTTTCAATTGATTTAATAACATGCGTTACGTCTAATAAGATTGCATTGCATTGCTTTACAATATTGCTGAATAAAGGTGAATACAGTCAGCATAATAGCTCCTATACCACTATGCGTCCATGTTGTAATCACATGATTTGTAAATCTATCTATATCTATCTATCTATCTATCTATCTATCTATCTATCTATCTATCTATCTATCTATCTATCTATCTATACAGGGTGTTTGGTTCCGGGTTTTACATATTTTCAGGGTAGATAGGGCTCCTAAAGTTATGAAAAAATTCCCATGAAACATAGGGTCGGAAATGACTGATAAGTGAGTTATTCAACATTTTATGTTTTTTTGTTTTGCCAACTTTGGTTAGCTATATTTTTAAATCTTAATGTGGTTTTCTGATTTCAACATACCAAATGAAAGATTAAAATCTTAGCTATCAATGCTGTCTAGAAAAGAACTCGATTAAAGTTAATTATCATACATTAAAATTGAAAAGTATGTTGAAAGTACCGAAAAAACTGGTGAAATTTCAAACATTTTAGTGTTTTTAAGTTGAAATTTTTCATTTCTGTTTATTTAGTTGTTCTACAAAACATTCTCCATGCAGTTCCCTAGATTTGTGTCTTTGGTAGTAACCTTGTAGGCTTTATGGTTTCTTCGTAATTATTGATTTAAAACAGCCATAAAAACTTGTGACGTTTTCTTAAAATGCGCTATAGTCACCCTATTCATTCGTACGTTCGGCTGTTGCAGTGGACTACGCACATGAAAATTTGGTAGAATGTTATTGTAGATGTTTAGCTACATTCTTAACTTTTGATTACCGCACATCTCATGCGCCGAAAGAAAACATAACTGCGGAGATGTTTCGCGGTATCGAATATTGCTCAGTCTCAGCAGAAAACACAACGAGAGACACCGAATCGGCGAGTTCTGAGAGCGGAAGGGAGAGAAGTAGGTAGTGGTAATAAGTCGATGTCCTTTTTATTTCATAGCACTCGCAGCTCAGCTGCTGTGCTGTTTTGATGGAGGAGTGTGGAGCTCCGCTGCTTCTGTATACACACTTAGATTTTTTACAGGAGTTAGTATTTTTACTGGATTTTTGGATTACTGACTCGGTTAAAATTCAAATGAATCGAAATTTTTATTTTTCATCATTACACGGGGTTAACAGAAGTTAGTCTGTAGAATTAGGTAACACATTTCTCAACTTTGAATTTTTTACAGATTTTTTTAAATTTTACCGAAGAGTTCTGCAATTCAAAAACTCGGTAAAAATTACTTGCTCCATAAGTGTGTACTGATGTATGGTTGGTGAAGAGGCTACCATCTGGAGGGTATTCTCAGGCTAATGAATGCCACCCATCCCCACTTATAATTCAGTAATACACTATTTATTCATTTCTGCTTGATATGTTTACAAAGTTTGCAAACAGAATTGCATTGCAGTGTAGTTACCAATTTTCCAATTCATTGACTTCAGATAACTGTTCAAAGTCCCAGATTTTTTATAACGGAATCATGAACAAAAAACCAAAGACCACTATGACAAACGTGATCGTGAACTTCGAGTTTTCTAGGGAGTTGATCTCGGGCACTATTGTGATTTGAGGCACTAAATTGTCATCACAGTTTTGTTATTGTATGTTTTCCGGTAGCAGATAATGGACTCCTGGAAAAACACGAAGTGGAACCAGAGCCAGAGGTTCTGAATCGTTTCACCTTAAAACAATTTCTATGTAAAGATTTTACCGAGTTTTTGAATTGCGGAACTCTTCGGTAAAATTTTAAAAATCTGTGAAAAATTCAAAGTTGAGAAATGTTGAAGTAATGATATTGGGTTGTTAGCGGAATGCTTAATAAAACAGCAAAAAAGGTTATCTTCCATTTAATTCCACTTAATTAATTTTGGTATCCATGACAGATACGTATTTCGACTACAATGTGCAGTCTTCATCAGTGTCATTCCCACTAAAGAACTTATCAAAATTTAACCCCCTTAAGTACTCATCCCCTAGGTAAAAAAAAGTCAAGATCATAGGCATAAAAATGAAACTACAATGTGTTGAAGTGGAGTTTCATTTTTATACCTATGATCTTGACCTTTTTTTTACCTAGGGGATGAGTACTTAAGGGGGTTAGATTTTGATAAGTTCTTTAGTGGGAATGACACTGATAACCTTTTAACCTTTTTTGCTGTTTTATTGAGAAATGTGTTTTACAGACTAACATCTGTTAACCCCTTGTAATGATGAAAAATTAAAAAAAAATCTATTTTATCCAATCTTTACGAATAACAGTCATTTGAATTTTAACCGAGTCAGTAATCCAAAAATCCAGTAAAAATACTAACTCCTGTAAAAAATCTAAGTGTGTATACAGAAGCAGCGGAGCTCCACACTCCTCCATTGAAACAGCACCGCAGCTGAGCTGCGAGTGCTATGAAATAAAAAGGACATCGACTTATTACCACTAGGGGAGAATGGTATACAACGCACCCCCTGGGCAGAACGCACCAGCTGACTTTCATTTGTGGTTTTCATGGCTTTTACGTAACTTTTTTGTTGTCTTATCAAGCAGCACTTCTAGCATAGCATCTGAACTCAAAATCCTGCATGATAAATCCTTAAATTGGTTTAAAAATTCCAAGAAAAACTCAAAATAAAATGAAAAAGTGCGTCTTACCCCGGGGGTGCGTTATGTACTGTTCTCCCCTACCTACTTCTCTCCCTTCCGCTCTCAGAATTCGCCGATTCGGTGTCTCTCGTTGTGTTTTCTGCTGAGACTGAGCAATATTCGATACCGCGAAACATCTCCGCAGTTATGTTTTCTTTCGGCGCAGGAGATGTGCGGTAATCAAAAGTTAAGAATGTAGCTCAACATTTACAATAACATTCTACCAAATTTTCATGTGCGTAGTCCACTGCAACAGCCAAACGTACGAATGAATAGGGTGACTATAGCGCATTTTAAGAAAACGTCACAAGTTTTTATGGCTGTTTTAAATCAATAATTACGAAGAAACCATAAAGCCTACAAGGTTACTACCAAAGACACAAATCTAGGGAACTGCATGGAGAATGTTTTGTAGAACAACTAAATAAACAGAAATGAAAATTTTCAACTTAAAAACACTAAAATGTATGAAATTTCACCAGTTTTTTCGGTACTTTCAACATACTTTTCAATTTTAATGTATGATAATTAACTTTAATCGAGTTCTTTTCTAGACAGCATTGATAGCTAAGATTTTAATCTTTCATTTGGTATGTTGAAATCAGAAAACCACATTAAGATTTAAAAATATAGCTAACCAAAGTTGGCAAAACAAAAAAACATAAAATGTTGAATAACTCACTTATCAGTCATTTCCGACCCTATGTTTCATGGGAATTTTTTCATAACTTTAGGAGCCCTATCTACCCTGAAAATATGTAAAACCCGGAACCAAACACCCTCTATATAAAAATGAATTTCTGTATGTCTGTCAGTCTGTCTGACCCTTATAGACTCGGAAACTACTGAACCGATTGGCGTGAAAATTTGTATACAGGGGTTTTTGGGGCCGTGGAAGGTTCTTATGATGGTTCGAGACCCCTCCCCCTTCTGTAAGGGGGGGGCTCCCATACAAATGAAACAGAAATTTCTGCATAACTCGAGAACTAATCAAGCAAATGGAACCAAATTAGGCATGTGGGGGCGAGTGTGGGGGTATAAGGAGATAATCATAGGGGGTATCCCCTTAGATAATAGGGGGGGGGGGGCTACGTACAATATAGCATGCTTTTTTTTAAATCGGCGCATAAACTCAAGCTAATATTGAATCCCGTGCAAGACCGGGCACACTCAGCTAGTGCTTTATAAACGGCGTATTAGATTCATTATTCGACAACACTGATTCAGTCTAACAGCAAGACGAAATCAGTAGAGTAGTGGTTACCGTTTCTGCTTTCCAAGCAGAAGGTCGTTAGTTTAATACCAAGCTCAACCCTTTTTTTATTTGTGTTCTACGTCTAATTAATTCAAATAGTAATCATCTCACGACAATGAATACATTGATCTAGTTTAAAGTATAACCGAGCATCCTGTCTTTCGACTTGGAGAGGTGAAGAGGTAACATTGCACAGTGAGTGGTCCAAACGACGAAAAACGTGATCGTGTGAGATTACGCAAAATCCTTTGACTTTAGGTATATAGTGTCTTCAGAGAAGTTTTAAGGCATAATTCGGCGCCATCTTTTGACGGTAGCCATTTTGTGATCAATCCCCCTAAAAGTGGGATCCAACACTCATTTTTTTATAAAGTTGAGATAGAAG